CCCCTGCCCTCCCACCTGTGCTAAGAATTTGGCTTCCATGTCCTTAAGTAAATCACTGGACACTAATCCTTCAGACACTCCTACAGTAGAGGCTGTGGGGTTCCAGTGCACCCCAGCTGTCCCTCACTCTTTGCAGCCTATGGTAGATGAGTGTCCTAGACCTGCTTCAGACCTGAGCTTGGCTCAAAGGGTCAGTTCAAAGGGTCATGTCCACACCAGGACAAACCCAAACCAGATGCACCTTGTGCCCTTTCTGGGTTCCTCTTGGAAGATGCTGAAGGTGGAGGCTGTCTCCTGGGACACTGAGTGGTGGAATGAAAGACAGCTATTCTGGAACATTCTACTCAGAATCTAGTGTGAGAAGGAAGTGAAGGATTTTTCTTTTATGTTGTTGATAAACAAAATCATTGCATCAACCCAGTGGGGCTGTTTCACTCTCTGAACTTCAGGCCAGCTTTATTTATAAAAATGGAAATGAAATGTCACTATATCTATTGGCCAAAATGTCAAAAGAAAAACTCTCATCTGGGGGTTGGCATGGTCTTTAAACTGCTTTTATTGCAGTTTGTCTTTATATGTGAAAAAGTTACCAGATTTAAAGTAGGGAGAGGAAACAGCAGAGACAGACAGGTGAGTGCCTTTACTTGTCGGCCCTGCTCCCACAGATGTACCCCGAGCTGGGCAGTCTCATTGGTTTCTGATTGTTCCTTCACAGGCAAAGAGAAGTGTGGAGCTGTCCGGGCATTTTACGGATCTGTGCGAAGCTCTCAGTTTGACAGGTGCAGGGGCACAGGAGTTTATTTTTCTCGGTGCGCAGCTCTTTGCACACGCCATGGCTCTGGCAGTCTTCTGGGAGTAGGTCTGTGCCAGGCTTGTGGGCACATGATGCCATCCACCGTAATCCCTGTTTTCTTTAAATTCAAAGTGGCAGAACCTTGACCGAAGCAACTCCACTTTCTTCTGCTGGTTTTGGCTTCCACCTCCCCCTACCAGCCAGGAAAAACAGCCTGGGCTTGGGGGCAGGGAGAGAGAGTCCTGCCTTTGAAGGGATGGCAGCTGTAGTGGTTGGACACTGCTTGACATCTGTGTCCCCTCTTAATTCCCAAACAAGCCCTAGCAGGAGGCTCTGACAAAGGGGCTCCATTTGAATAACAGAATCAGGGCTTAAGGTGGTGGGGTATTTATGGTTAGACCTGTCTAGACTAACCTGGAGTCCGTGTGTGTGTGTGTGTGTGTGTGTGTGTGTGTGTGTGTGTGTCTGTGTCTGTGTCTGTGTGTGTGCATGCCCATGCATGCATGCATATGTGTGTGCACGTTTATGCGTGCAAGCTGTAGATCAAGCTCAGGTTTGGGTCCTCAGGACACTATGTGCCTTGGTTTGGGAGGCAGGGTCTCTCACTGGCCTGGAACTCGCTGATTCAAGTAGGCTGGCTGGTCATGGAGCCGCAGGATCCACCTGCCTTTGTTTCCCCAACTCTAAGGTTGTGAACAAGTGTGTGCCTCACGTGTGTGGGTTCTGGGGTTGAACATAGGTCCTCAAGCTTGCATGGTAAGCACTTTATGGACTGAGCTATTGTCCCAGCCCCAAAACCTATACTTTTAACATATATACTTCATATCAGTCTCATTTCAAGTTAAGAGAACACCCATGATTGATAATGAAGTACTTTATTTGTAAGAGCCTCCCAGGGGTCTCTCTGGTACTGCAAGGCAGGAAGTTGCACGCAAAGGGGAAGCTGGAAGCCAACAATCTACCCGTTCAAGGTAGATGAGTGATAGGGACAGATCAGTCTAACACACCAGGCTTTGGTGTCTCATTCTGAATGAGTACAGAAGGGCCCCCACTCAGCCTCTAGGGTGGGAGAGGGGTGTTTATCACTGGGGGGACTTGGTTTGTCTGGGAAGGGGTGCTAGAGGAGACAACGTGTCCAGATGTTGAACAAGGCTGCTCCCTCAGCACTTTGGCGACTTTCCACTACAAAACTTGTTGGGATACAATTGATACTTTAAGCTGTAGCTTTTCCGGTTCCGGTGGAAACATTCAACTGCAGCTTTGTCACATTGGCACAGCTGTTTCCTACAGGAGTTCTGGTTGGCTGAAATTAGAGGGAAAGAGACACTGAGCTGACGGTTGTTAATATCACACCACTGCTGGTGGGGACAGGCCTGTTCTGAGGCAAGCACTGGGGCCACTGGAAAGGCAGACCCCATCAGATAGGGACACACAGCCCATGTGATGGGGATGCACAGCAGCCAAGCTTGGCACTGCCAGAGGTTTGCCTAGCTTCCTAGACAACATCTTCTAGGTTTTAGTTTAGTTTAGTTTAGATTTTGTTTTTAAGGACAGGTTTAATGTAGCTCAGGTTAGCCTTGAACTCTATGTTGTTGAGGATAACCTTGAACTTCTGATCCTGCCCCTCTACATCCTGGGCTCTGGGATTCCAGGCACGCTAAATCATGCCCAATTTATACAGTGGTAGGGATGGAACCCAGGTCCTTGTGTATGTGAGGCTGGCACTCTCCAGCTGAGCTACATCTCCGGCCCCACCTTCTTGTTAACAGACCTGCTTGTGTAAGCAAACCCAGCCTCACTGGCCTCAGGATGGATGGAAATGGTGAAAACCTGTGTGGTCTACTCTTTCTCCTTGGCTGTGATTGGTCTTAGGTAGTATGCAGCTTCATTCTGAATGAAGTGCTAAAGAGGAAGTCAGCAGGGGCTTCTGGGAAGTGTTCATTCCCCCTCTTCAAAGAGTCTTGGAGAGGGAAAGCCACCTGTCATTGGTGGCCAAGGGCATTCTCGGAGCTCTAGTGTGTCTTGTAGTATAAGCACAGATGTTGGCACCAGGCCGGAACTGAGGAGCAGGCCTGACCCCGGGCTGTAGCAGTTGCCCAGGTTGGCACCACACTGCCCTAGAGAATTCTTTCCCATGTGACAGAGGCCCCTTTACTCCATGTGTCACCACCCTGCAGGCAGCATGGCTCGCTGCCCCCCCCTGCCCATTTCCCCCAGCCAGGGTGAGCCCTCTTTGTGCAGAAGTGTCTCTTGCTACTTTGCTAAATAATAGGACCCTGTTGCTGTGGTCCCCAAACCTCAAGACAATGGCTAGGAAGGCCCGGATTTTTCTTGTCCCTTCTTGTCTCACTGCTCAGACTCATCCTCACGTGTCCATTGGGCAGCACAGAGTGGCCTATTGTCCTCTTTGACCTTTTGGCCATGCTGTGCCTTGTTTGAGGGGTAGTCCAACCTTCCTCTCCCACTGTGAGCCTCACTGACTCTCTTAGGACTCAGCTTAGGTACCACTGTTTGCAGGACCCCCTGCAAGCCTCAGGCTGTGCAAAGCCTGTTTATGCCTTCCCACTGGAGTCTTCCATGAGGTTCTAAGCAGGGATAAATTCCCCTTCTGCTCCGGCACAATGCCCAGCATTTATTTGCTCAATAAACACGTGAGGGCAGCTTGCCAGGATCTCAGGGTTTTTCTTACCGGAGCAGGTGATTTTGCCCCCTCGGTAGGAGAACTTGTAGGTCAGAAATTTTGTGCCGCAATTATGTTTCTGCAGCCGGTCGTAGCAACAGTCGTGAGCAACACAGCACCTGGTCGGTGGAGGTGGGGGGGGGGCACGTCCTGTTGAGGCTGTATTCTCACAGCCCTGAAATCCTGGTGCCTCCCAAGGTCCCTTTATCTTTCACCCTGAGCAGAGACTCAGAAACATTGGAGGGGTCTAGAACAGAGTTCCCAATGCACTATTTTACTGGTGGGGGTACCCCAGGGACCTGAGGAAAAATACCAGGTCTGTCCTAGTCCTGACCCCACCAGGACCCTGAGGCAACTGGTACCAGTTCTGTCCTAGTCCCGTTCCAGCCAGAGTGAACTGAAGATAGGGGTGTCCTCACCGATCTGTCGCATCCTTGGGGGATCCCCTGCCACCCACGCCACAGTGGCAACCGTAGAAGGCATAGCTGGTCTCAGCTCTCTTTCCCGTCTTAAGTAAGATCATTTGTCTAAACTCTGCAAGGCTCCCTTGGATCTGTATTGGGCCTGAAAAGAGATGGAGAAATGGCTGGTGAAGGGCAGTGAGCCCCGTGCCCCTCCTCCGCATTGGCATCTCGCTACTGCCTCTCTCCCCACAAATACCTTCCTTCCCATTCCCACTGAGAGAGGGCTGGGGAATGGGAAGGAGCACTGGAGGATGGGGTGCCCTTCTCCTTAGATTTCCCCCCACCCTGCTGAGTTCAGAGTCAAGTCTTACCAAAGGCCATGATGACAGCTGTTAGCAGCAGGAGGACCTTCATGGTGTCAGCCTGTGAACGACAAGTATAGACGACTGGCCCGGGCGTTTCCTACCAGGAGTCTCGGCCTCTGCCCCAGCCCCTGCTCTGCTGTCTGACTTAGCAACCCTGGAGTACAGACGTGCTCTCGCATGGGGCTAAGTCATAGAGAGCATAAGGTGGCTTCAGACAGTGCATCATGCGTGTCACCCCTTGTCCCTTCCCTGCTCTGTTGGAATATGATACAGTACCGGGAGCACCCTAGCACCTCCTTCAGTCCTCCTGGGAGACTGGATTCATTCCACAAAACTGGGAGGCTGAAGACAATGCCTCTCTTCATTAGATACTCAACCTGCCTCCCTGCGTTAGGGTGAAGGCTTTGGAACTCCATCCATGGAATCTGATCCCCAACAGTTTTTGTCCCGAACTAAAGCTGCACATTCTCTTGGCAAGCCTTTCTAAGCCCGCGTAGGTTGCATGTACACACACATGCTCTTGAATTCTCGCTCAGCACCCTCACAAACCCATACAACATACTTGCACACAAATACGGTCTTTCACATGTTTACGTGATGGTGGTTCACATGCACAGGCATGTCCACAAGCACACACATACATGCATCTAGACAACCACTCAAATGCAGTCACAAGGCTGGAGCTTCTGGGCATTTACCTCTCGGACGATGCCGCAGCTTCTTCTTCAAGGGCCTGTCTTGTTTTTCCTGAACTTCATCTGCCCTTAAATAGCCCTTCCTTCTGCAGGGTTGGGGGTTGGTGAGACACAGGGACGGAGAGGTGGGCGTGGTCAAATGGTGGATTCATAGATAGGATACCCAAAGCCCTGAGCAATTCCCCTTTTTTTCCCCCTCGTCATCTGGCTGGACAGCCTTGAGAGCTGGAAAATCCTTCATACCATGGGTTTACACTATAATAAATCCAGCTGATTTTGAAACTCTCCGGCTGCTGAGAAAAGGGCTCAGTTCCTGGCTGAGGAAGTTTCTCTATCCAATCTGGGAGTAACCAACAGGTCACCGCCCAGCAGCCACTCCCAGGAGTGGGCAAGAACTGTGTAAGCAGTGGAAATGAGAGTGTTTGTAAGCCAGGAATGTTCCTTTTCCTAACTGATTGTGACATTTGCGAATAGGGAAGAGGACATTGATGCAGTAGCGTTTGTTCATTTCCTCCATTCAACATGCATTCAATCACAAAAGATATATGCTAAGCCTCTGTGAGGACCAAGGCTGCACAAACTTCTTGAGAGGGTGATGAGGACGGTGCAGGAGTCAAGTTCTTGGGGCCCCACAGACCACTCCAGCATGGGCAGGATTGGATGGGCTGGATTCTCTGTCCCCCAAAGAGCCCAGCATCTCCATATTCTCTTCTTCCTCCCCTTCATGGTCCTCCTCCTCTCTCATCCCATGTGGTTTTCTTCTCTGTGTGTTTATGTGTCTGTGGTTGTGCCGGTGTGTGCAGGTGCCTGTGTGTACACATGTGTGTACATTTGTGTGTGCACGTGAGTGGAGTTTAGAGGACAACCTTGGATATAGTTCTTCCGGAACTGTCTGCCATGATTTTTGAGATAGGGCCTCTCATTGACCTGAGCTTCACAAAGTAAACCAATCTGGCTGAACAGAGAGTCCCAGGGACCTGGTCACCTTCGTCTCCCCAGCACTGGAGTGACAAGTCTGTTCATATTACATAGGTTCTGGGGATTGAACTCAGGTCCTCGGGACTGCAAAGCAAGCACTTTACTGACTGAGCCATTTACCAGTTCTGTAAGATTTTTAAACCTGGAAAAATCCAGTAGCTGTTCTTGATTTTTCCCACCAAATGTCACCACCACTGTCCCTCCTAGCCCTCACCAGTTTGGCAGTGGGCTTCTTAATGTTTCCTGGGCCTATGACGTCTTTATTCTCCACGCTTGAGTGCTTTAGTTCCAAACTAAACATCTTTCTTCCCCTGCCCTCCCACCTGTGCTAAGAATTTGGCTTCCATGTCCTTAAGTAAATCACTGGACACTAATCCTTCAGACACTCCTACAGTAGAGGCTGTGGGGTTCCAGTGCACCCCAGCTGTCCCTCACTCTTTGCAGCCTATGGTAGATGAGTGTCCTAGACCTGCTTCAGACCTGAGCTTGGCTCAAAGGGTCAGTTCAAAGGGTCATGTCCACACCAGGACAAACCCAAACCAGATGCACCTTGTGCCCTTTCTGGGTTCCTCTTGGAAGATGCTGAAGGTGGAGGCTGTCTCCTGGGACACTGAGTGGTGGAATGAAAGACAGCTATTCTGGAACATTCTACTCAGAATCTAGTGTGAGAAGGAAGTGAAGGATTTTTCTTTTATGTTGTTGATAAACAAAATCATTGCATCAACCCAGTGGGGCTGTTTCACTCTCTGAACTTCAGGCCAGCTTTATTTATAAAAATGGAAATGAAATGTCACTATATCTATTGGCCAAAATGTCAAAAGAAAAACTCTCATCTGGGGGTTGGCATGGTCTTTAAACTGCTTTTATTGCAGTTTGTCTTTATATGTGAAAAAGTTACCAGATTTAAAGTAGGGAGAGGAAACAGCAGAGACAGACAGGTGAGTGCCTTTACTTGTCGGCCCTGCTCCCACAGATGTACCCCGAGCTGGGCAGTCTCATTGGTTTCTGATTGTTCCTTCACAGGCAAAGAGAAGTGTGGAGCTGTCCGGGCATTTTACGGATCTGTGCGAAGCTCTCAGTTTGACAGGTGCAGGGGCACAGGAGTTTATTTTTCTCGGTGCGCAGCTCTTTGCACACGCCATGGCTCTGGCAGTCTTCTGGGAGTAGGTCTGTGCCAGGCTTGTGGGCACATGATGCCATCCACCGTAATCCCTGTTTTCTTTAAATTCAAAGTGGCAGAACCTTGACCGAAGCAACTCCACTTTCTTCTGCTGGTTTTGGCTTCCACCTCCCCCTACCAGCCAGGAAAAACAGCCTGGGCTTGGGGGCAGGGAGAGAGAGTCCTGCCTTTGAAGGGATGGCAGCTGTAGTGGTTGGAAACTGCTTGACATCTGTGTCCCCTCTTAATTCCCAAACAAGCCCTAGCAGGAGGCTCTGACAAAGGGGCTCCATTTGAATAACAGAATCAGGGCTTAAGGTGGTGGGGTATTTATGGTTAGACCTGTCTAGACTAACCTGGAGTCCGTGTGTGTGTGTGCGTGTGTGTGTGTGTGTGTGTGTGTGTGTGTGTGTCTGTGTCTGTGTGTGTGCATGCCCATGCATGCATGCATATGTGTGTGCACGTTTATGCGTGCAAGCTGTAGATCAAGCTCAGGTTTGGGTCCTCAGGACACTATGTGCCTTGGTTTGGGAGGCAGGGTCTCTCACTGGCCTGGAACTCGCTGATTCAAGTAGGCTGGCTGGTCATGGAGCCGCAGGATCCACCTGCCTTTGTTTCCCCAACTCTAAGGTTGTGAACAAGTGTGTGCCTCACGTGTGTGGGTTCTGGGGTTGAACCTAGGTCCTCAAGCTTGCATGGTAAGCACTTTATGGACTGTGCTATCTCCTCAGCCCGAAACCTATACTTTTAGCATATATACTTCATATCAGTCTCATTTCACGTTAAGAGAACACACATGGTGGTTAGTGAAGTACTTTATTTTTAGGAGCCTCCGTGGCACTGTGAGGCAGGAGGTTGGGTGCCAAGGGGAAGCTGGAGGCGGACAATCTGCCAGTCCAAGATAGTTGAGTGACAGGGAAAGATCAGTCTAACTCACCAGGCTTTGGTGTCTCATCTGAGTGATGACAGAAGGGCCTCTACCCTGCCTTGAGGTGGGAGAAGGGTGTTTATCACAGGGGGACATGGTTGAGCTGGGAAGGGTACTAGAGGAGACTGTCTAGACTACCAGAGAGTGTAGAAATGAGCAGCTGGGCGTCTTCTTTCTGCAGCTCCTATCGAAAAAGAATGCTTGAGGTTCCTTGAAGGTTTTCAAGTTCCGGGCAAAACAGTGGCGACTTTGTCACATTGGCACGGCTGTACCTGACAGGGGTCCTGGTTGGCTGAAATTAGAGGGAAACAGACACTGAGCTGACAGTTGTTAATATCCCAAGGCTGCTGGTGGGGACAGGCCTGTTCTGAGGCAAGCACTGGGGCCACTGGAAAGGCAGACCCCATCAGATGGGGACACACAGTCCATGTGATGGGGATGCACAGCAGCCAAGCTTGGCACTGCCAGAGGTTTGCCTAGCTTCCTAGACAACATCTTCTAGGTTTTAGTTTAGTTTTGTTTGTTTTTGTTTTTAAAGACAGGGTCTAATGTAGCTCAGGCTAGCCTTGAACTCTATGTTGTTGAGGATAACTTTGAACTTCTGATCCTGCCCCTCTACATCCTGGGCTCTGGGATTCCAGGCACGCTAAATCATGCCCAATTTATACAGTGGCCCTTGTGTATGTGAGGCTGGCACTCTCCAGCTGAGCTACATCTCCGGCCCCACCTTCTTGTTAACAGACCTGCTTGTGTAAGGAAACCCAGCCTCACTGGCCTCAGGATGGATGGAAATGGTGAAAACCTGTGTGGTCTACTCTTTCTCCTTGGCTGTGATTGGTCTTAGGTAGTATGCAGCTTCATTCTGAATGAAGTGCTAAAGAGGAAGTCAGCAGGGGCTTCTGGGAAGTGTTCATTCCCCCTCTTCAAAGAGTCTTGGAGAGGGAAAGCCACCTGTCATTGGTGGCCAAGGGCATTCTCGGAGCTCTAGTGTGTCTTGTAGTATAAGCACAGATGTTGGCACCAGGCCGGAACTGAGGAGCAGGCCTGACCCCGGGCTGTAGCAGTTGCCCAGGTTGGCACCACACTGCCCTAGAGAATTCTTTCCCATGTGACAGAGGCCCCTTTACTCCATGTGTCACCACCCTGCAGGCAGCATGGCTCGCTGCCCCCCCCTGCCCATTTCCCCCAGCCAGGGTGAGCCCTCTTTGTGCAGAAGTGTCTCTTGCTACTTTGCTAAATAATAGGACCCTGTTGCTGTGGTCCCCAAACCTCAAGACAATGGCTAGGAAGGCCCGGATTTTTCTTGTCCCTTCTTGTCTCACTGCTCAGACTCATCCTCACGTGTCCATTGGGCAGCACAGAGTGGCCTATTGTCCTCTTTGACCTTTTGGCCATGCTGTGCCTTGTTTGAGGGGTAGTCCAACCTTCCTCTCCCACTGTGAGCCTCACTGACTCTCTTAGGACTCAGCTTAGGTACCACTGTTTGCAGGACCCCCTGCAAGCCTCAGGCTGTGCAAAGCCTGTTTATGCCTTCCCACTGGAGTCTTCCATGAGGTTCTAAGCAGGGATAAATTCCCCTTCTGCTCCGGCACAATGCCCAGCATTTATTTGCTCAATAAACACGTGAGGGCAGCTTGCCAGGATCTCAGGGTTTTTCTTACCGGAGCAGGTGATTTTGCCCCCTCGGTAGGAGAACTTGTAGGTCAGAAATTTTGTGCCGCAATTATGTTTCTGCAGCCGGTCGTAGCAACAGTCGTGAGCAACACAGCACCTGGTCGGTGGAGGTGGGGGGGGGGCACGTCCTGTTGAGGCTGTATTCTCACAGCCCTGAAATCCTGGTGCCTCCCAAGGTCCCTTTATCTTTCACCCTGAGCAGAGACTCAGAAACATTGGAGGGGTCTAGAACAGAGTTCCCAATGCACTATTTTACTGGTGGGGGTACCCCAGGGACCTGAGGAAAAATACCAGGTCTGTCCTAGTCCTGACCCCACCAGGACCCTGAGGCAACTGGTACCAGTTCTGTCCTAGTCCCGTACCAGCCAGAGTGAACTGAAGATAGGGGTGTCCTCACCGATCTGTCGCATCCTTGGGGGATCCCCTGCCACCCACGCCACAGTGGCAACCGTAGAAGGCATAGCTGGTCTCAGCTCTCTTTCCCGTCTTAAGTAAGATCATTTGTCTAAACTCTGCAAGGCTCCCTTGGATCTGTATTGGGCCTGAAAAGAGATGGAGAAATGGCTGGTGAAGGGCAGTGAGCCCCGTGCCCCTCCTCCGCATTGGCATCTCGCTACTGCCTCTCTCCCCACAAATACCTTCCTTCCCATTCCCACTGAGAGAGGGCTGGGGAATGGGAAGGAGCACTGGAGGATGGGGTGCCCTTCTCCTTAGATTTCCCCCCACCCTGCTGAGTTCAGAGTCAAGTCTTACCAAAGGCCATGATGACAGCTGTTAGCAGCAGGAGGACCTTCATGGTGTCAGCCTGTGAACGACAAGTATAGACGACTGGCCCGGGCGTTTCCTACCAGGAGTCTCGGCCTCTGCCCCAGCCCCTGCTCTGCTGTCTGACTTAGCAACCCTGGAGTACAGACGTGCTCTCGCATGGGGCTAAGTCATAGAGAGCATAAGGTGGCTTCAGACAGTGCATCATGCGTGTCACCCCTTGTCCCTTCCCTGCTCTGTTGGAATATGATACAGTACCGGGAGCACCCTAGCACCTCCTTCAGTCCTCCTGGGAGACTGGATTCATTCCACAAAACTGGGAGGCTGAAGACAATGCCTCTCTTCATTAGATACTCAACCTGCCTCCCTGCGTTAGGGTGAAGGCTTTGGAACTCCATCCATGGAATCTGATCCCCAACAGTTTTTGTCCCGAACTAAAGCTGCACATTCTCTTGGCAAGCCTTTCTAAGCCCGCGTAGGTTGCATGTACACACACATGCTCTTGAATTCTCGCTCAGCACCCTCACAAACCCATACAACATACTTGCACACAAATACAGTCTTTCACATGTTTACGTGATGGTGGTTCACATGCACAGGCATATCCACAAGCACACACATACATGCATCTAGACAACCACTCAAATGCAGTCACAAGGCTGGAGCTTCTGGGCATTTACCTCTCGGACGATGCCGCAGCTTCTTCTTCAAGGGCCTGTCTTGTTTTTCCTGAACTTCATCTGCCCTTAAATAGCCCTTCCTTCTGCAGGGTTGGGGGTTGGTGAGACACAGGGACGGAGAGGTGGGCGTGGTCAAATGGTGGATTCATAGATAGGATACCCAAAGCCCTGAGCAATTCCCCATTTTTTCCCCCTCGTCATCTGGCTGGACAGCCTTGAGAGCTGGAAAATCCTTCATACCATGGGTTTACACTATAATAAATCCAGCTGATTTTGAAACTCTCCGGCTGCTGAGAAAAGGGCTCAGTTCCTGGCTGAGGAAGTTTCTCTATCCAATCTGGGAGTAACCAACAGGTCACAGCCCAGCAGCCACTCCCAGGAGTGGGCAAGAACTGTGTAAGCAGTGGAAATGAGAGTGTTTGTAAGCCAGGAATGTTCCTTTCCCTAACTGATTGTGACATTTGCGAATAGGGAAGAGGACATTGATGCAGTAGCGTTTGTTCATTTCCTCCATTCATCATGCATTCAATCACAAAAGATATATGCTAAGCCTCTGTGAGGACCAAGGCTGCACAAACTTCTTGAGAGGGTGATGAGGACGGTGCAGGAGTCAAGTTCTTGGGGCTCCACAGACCACTCCAGCATGGGCAGGATTGGATGGGCTGGATTCTCTGTCCCCCAAAGAGCCCAGCATCTCCATATTCTCTTCTTCCTCCCCTTCATGGTCCTCCTCCTCTCTCATCCCATGTGGTTTTCTTCTCTGTGTGTTTATGTGTCTGTGGTTGTGCCGGTGTGTGCAGGTGCCTGTGTGTACACATGTGTGTGCATTTGTGTGTGCACGTTAGTGGAGTTTAGAGGACAACCTTGGATATAGTTCTTCCGGAACTGTCTGCCATGATTTTTGAGATAGGGCCTCTCATTGACCTGAGCTTCACAAAGTAAACCAATCTGGCTGAACAGAGAGTCCCAGGGACCTGGTCACCTTCCTCTTTCCAGCACTGGAGTGACAAGTCTGTTCATATTACATAGGTTCTGGGGATTGAACTCAGGTCCTCGGGACTGCAAAGCAAGCACTTTACTGACTGAGCCATTTAGCAGTTCTGTAAGATTTTTAAACCTGGAAAAATCCAGCAGCTGTTCTTGATTTTTCCCACCAAATGCCGCCACCACTGTCCCTCCTAGCCCTCACCCGATTGGCAGTGGGCTCCTTAATGTTTCCTGGGCCTATGATGTCTTTATTCTCCAGGCTTCGGGGATATAGTGATTTGACTGCTTTAGTTCCTAAACTAAACATCTTTCTCCCCCTGCCCTCCCACCTGTGCTAAGAATTTGGCTTCCATGTCCTTAAGGAAATCACTGGACACTAATCCTTCAGACACTCCTACAGTAGAGGCTGTGGGGTTCCAGTGCACCCCAGCTGTCCCTCACTCTTTGCAGCCTATGGTAGATGAGTGTCCTAGACCTGCTTCAGACCTGAGCTTGGCTCAAAGGGTCAGTTCAAAGGGGCATGTCCACACCAGGACAAACCCAAACCAGATGCACCTCGTGCCCTTTCTGGGATCCTCTTGGAAGATGCTGAAGGTGGAGGCTGTCTCCTGGGACACTGAGTGGTGGAATGAAAGACAGCTATTCTGGAACATTCTACTACCCTCAGAGAATCTAGTGTGAGAAAGAAGTGAAGGGATTTTTCTTTTATGTTGTTGATAAACAAAATCATTGCATCATTCTGTAGTTTATTTGTGAGTCATTCTAGCAGATGTCCTTCTGATATTCTGAAAATGAGCTTATTTCATTTACTTAAAGGCAGATTTTATTGAATATGTTATTGGTTGAATGGTGTCCTCTTTTGGGACCTCACTTCCTGTTCAAATCTTGAAACCTTATACTACAGCCCTGTTCGGAAATTGTGTCATTATAGAAATGAATAGCTAAGATGAGGTCATTAGAACCCTGACCCTATAAACCTTGATGTCCTTAGGGAAAGGGGAAGAAATGTGGGTTCAGAGAGGTGGTCACAGGGTGACAGTTCTACTTCCCAGGGAGCCCAAGATGCCAACAAGTACAGAAGGCAGGAGAGTCCTGGACAGACTCTCACCTTCAGAAGGACCCAACCATCTGGGCTCCTTTGGTCTCTGCCTCAGAGCCCTGAGCCAATCCGTTTTTGATACCCGTGTCAGCAGCGAGGGAGGTGGGGTCAGCAATCCAGGAAGTGTTGCCTGCATTTTCCTTCCCCACTTAGAGCCTTGAGCTCTGGTGAAGCTGGATTCTTGGCTTTGCCATGGAAAGTGTATCAGGCTAAGCCAGCCGTGAAGCAGGGCTCATGGAAGGACTCTTAAAGCATAAGCCTTAAGTACAGAACTTAATAGAGAGTTGCCCGGGGGAAGAGAGAAATCCTAGAGGGTGGATGTGGGCTTCTCACGGGAGTGTCACTCCTTGGTCCTGTGCCTCTCTAGTTTCCATCACTCTGGGTAATTCCAGCAAGTTGGAGGGTCAAAGGGTGTCCTTTTTTTTTCTTTTTTTAAAAAAATTTATTTATTTATTAAAAATTTCCACCTCCTCCCATTTCCCTCCTACTTTCCCTTCCCCTCCCCCCTCCTTCTCTAGTCCTAAGAGTGCCCTGCCCTGAGGGAAGTCCAAGGCCCTCCCACCTCCATCCAGGTCTAGGAAGGTGTGCATCCCAACAGACTAGGCTCCCAGAAAGCCAGTACGTGCAGTAGAATCAAAACCCAGTGTCATTATCATTGGCTTCTCAGTTAGCCCTCATTGTCAGAGAGTCTGGTTTGGTCACATGCTCATTCAGTCCCAGTCCAGCTGGCCTTGGTGAGCTCCCATTAGATCAGTCCCACTGTCTCTGTGGGTGGACACACCCCTCAAGGTCCTGACTTCCTTGCTCATGTTCTCCCTCCCTCTGCTCTTCATCTGGACCTTGAGAGCTCAGTCCAGTGCTTCAGTGTGGGTTTCTGTCTCTATCCCCATCCATCTCCGGATGAAGTTTCTATGGTGATATGCAAGATATTCATCAGTGTGGCTTGCAAGAGGCTTGGCACTAGAGGGGTTCCCAGGTGTCCAAGGAGATGTCCCCAGCTAGGTCCTTGGGCAGCAGAGCAGAGGGTGTCTGAACTGGCCTTATCCTATAGCCACACAAAGAGTGTCCTTTTATGAACAAAGTTGGAAAGTGGGTTTATAAGGGGTGTTGTTGGGAATAAGAAGTGCTAAAAATCAAGGTTAGCAATCATTTGGGTCCTCAGTAGGCATGGCTTAAATTGTTTTTAACATTTTCAGTTGAGATGTCTTTAGGAAACTGCCCATCATCTCTGTGGGCACTTCTGGTGTTATCACCACTGTGTGGAGCTTCCTGGCTGTGCCAGCGGGAAGGACAAACCAACCAAATCTTAGGTGAAGGGTTTTCTTCTCATATCACCCCAGTTTTGGGTCTTTCTATCTTGCCTCCTTTAGACTACTCATTTTGGGGGGGCTTTGGCATTAGTAGAAAGCCGCAGTGAATACTACTCACCTGGCAGGGGAGACACCATGATCACTAAGGTAGTTTTCTCAGCAAGGCTTACC